CCTTGGCTGCGTGATATAAATGTTAGTTCATCGCGCAAGGGTGGTGTTAGACACTGTGCTTGGCGTGTTCAGGTACTATAAAGGTAATTTTCTGACAAAAATAACTAAATGAAACAATTAGACCCCAAATTCTTCGAATAATATCTACAAGGTTACACATATTCGATTAAATGAAAGAAGATACATCGATTAAATTCTTTTTAATCGTTGCCACTTTTTCCGCAATCGTGTCTAGATATTGATATACAGGATGTTCGAGATTTATCATGCCATATTTTATTTATTTTTAATCAATTTTAATGTATGGAATGCTTGCAACAATGTTCATTAATTTATATAGCATTTATGAATTTTTTTTAAATAAAAATACATATTGATTTATAGTTTAAAATTTTAAGCAACTATAAAAACAAGTGAAAAATTTTGTCTTCTGAATAAATGCTTCATAGAAAGTTGCAAAAAGACAGTAAATTTGAATAAATTTAAATGTATAAAAACTCAATTAGGTGTACATCAGTTATAAATTGTTTTTTTACGAAAAAGTATATTATTTAGAGAAATGTTCATTATGATTTTTTTGAAGATTGACATTATCTATTATACTATTATCTATCACTATTAAGGACATTATTGCTACTAAGGAAAAAATTTATTAAAAATTATTAAAAGAAATACATTTACATATAACAGAAATAAAAAATTAATATTATTTTGTAGAAATGTGACAAGTATTCTTTGTTAGAATTTTATTAGAAGAAATGATGTTTGTATGTTGCACATATACGTGACTATATTTAGATGCTACCTTGACTCTGGCCGGAGATATCGAACCGCCGAATCACACAGTTTGAACAGCACATCCATACGATCGCGTGACCGTGAGATTCTCGTCTTTTCCGTAGACTTGAGCAAAACGACACAATCCTATTAACCTAGACCTAATCTTTGTCCGTTTGCCAATTCATACAATCGGTAATTCTATATTTGTCGACAAACGAAAAAAAAAAAATATATATGAACGGTACCAATATGAGAATTTTTAAATAAAAAGATCAAAGAAAAATATAAAAATATATTTAATCGCGAATAATATTTTTCAGTAATTTGTTCATTATTTATTATTTCAAATATTTTGACACAATAATGCAATAACAGCACTTACAAGTAATTAAAATCGTAGTCAGCACTGAAAACAACTATAAGTCGTAGATTACTTTCATGAAATAAATAATAGAATAATGTGTACATTTTTTCATATGTCTAACAATAAGAGAGATAATTGATAAAAAAAGGAAAAAAAAATCTCAATCTCCATTTTTCGCATTTACTGTTCTTAAAAAATTATTAAAGGGGGATAAAATCATTCGTGAATAAATAAAATTGATTACAGAACATATAATTTTAGAATTGTAACAGCTTGTACCTGACAATGTAACACACATAATCCAAATTCCGCCGTGCATGGGGACCAAAAAGGACGAACTTTTGGTAATACGATTAGTTCGATGATAAACGGAAGACTTTAGCATTGCCACCTGACCGTCCAGATACCACGTGAGATTGACGTTTGTGTGAATTAGGATTTCTTTGTCCCAGCCGATCTCTTCCCAATGATCTGACATTATTGCACCGCATAGAAGCCCCGTCGCTGAGAAATGAAGAGAAAAATTAATTATTCGATCGGAGCAAAATCTTTTTCGTGTTGTTTCGTTCTTGAAAAATTTTTTTACAAAATTTTTTTCTAGATGAGACAAGTCAATTAAAATTAAAATTAATAATACACTTTAAAATTGTACAGTTTTTAAGTTTTTCTTTTCGTAAGTACATAATAAATCTTGTGCACCAGTCTGACATTTATTGCGAGAAAGAATTCTCGTTTGTAATAAATATACTTGATAGAATCTACGTAGTTTCACTATACGTTCACACATAATTATCATTAGCATTTATGCTACAAATTATGGAAGGATGAACGTGAATATTACGCAATTTAAAACCCAGATTTTTATTCTCACTGCACTTTTTTTCGTTAAATATTTTTTTAATAGAAAAATATTTAATTATCGCTTCTTGGACGAAATGTCAAGCGATAAATGTCAGAGAGATCGAGCTTCTTATAATTCCAATCAAGATATATGTAACTCATTTTCTTCTATCACGAATTTCTGTTTAAATGTCCAGGACTTCATTCATTCTCGTAAACGCATCCTAAGGGAGGATTTTTTAAGATGGACGTCAAGTTTCTTTTTTCGCGGAACGCGAGAGGTATCTCTTTACCTGCGAAGGTCAACACGAGGGTGGCGAAGAGGAAGACGAGGCGCGGACCGGGACCCCGGGGTACGCGGCTCGGTTCCATCTGTTCTCGGAGACCGGCGCCCAGGGCGACGCCTGCAAGCGTCGCTCGCGTCCCCCGACTCGTAACTGGCCGACGTACGCCCTTGGAACTCCTCGTTCTCCCTTTCTCTATCTCTCCCTCTGGACATCCTCGCGACGCGGACGCCCTCGTCTGGCTCGTCCCTCCGCGTCGAATCGACCGACGCGGAAAACCACCCTCGTCCGTTCTTTCCCACCCCCATGGATATCACCCGCCTTATCACCTACACGCCGACGTTTATGCGTCTTGCGAACAATCAAACTGAGATTTCTGTCTTGGTGAATCAATTCAAGAGAAAGAGAGAGAGAGAGAAAATTGCTTTATTTAGATATTATTATTGTGGATTATTATGCGCATGGTTTTTATAATTAAATTTGTAGATAAATGAATTTAAATTCTCGAATTGCTCATTCAGATTATATTCTTTTTAAGGTAGGATCCTTTGTTAATAAAGAATTCGTCTCATTTGTTTCTTTGAGGGTGAGGACGGAGAGGCAGAAGAGAAAAGACTCTTAGAATTATTCAGTTAAAGTATTAATAAATATGTTGACGCTGAAACTCCTGTAAATATGTTGAAAAAAATATTACTCTAATTTTTTTGCTAAGAAAAAAAGTTATAGCAAAACTATGACTTTGATCAGATATTTTGCAGAAATGTCAATGTCTACTTCAATAAGGACTTAATACCGCCCATTTATAGCGTTTATATATGCTTATGTCAACAACAGTGTTTGCTGTTATGTAAATAAAATTATATGTATAGATGATTATCTAGATGAAATTTGGGCGTCAACTTATTTTATATAGATAATAAAAATATGTATTATCCGCATCTTAAATGAAAGGTGTTATCTTCAGCTAGAAATGATCTAGAATAATGTTCAGAGATAATTTGGTTTACAGTCATAGAACATAAAAATACTTAATTTGCAAAATTTAAGCAGTAAGCGATAAAAATTTATAAATAAAAGTATATGAATATATTTTTATATTCTTTTATAATTTTGTTATAACTGTGTTTACATAATCTTAAAAATAAATTATCTGGAAGTTTATCTAGATGAATCGCCATATAATTTTATCTAAATATATTTAAAACAAAATCATCTTTATTTTATCTAAGATGAATTTACGTATCATCTTCAGCTAATTTTAAAATCATCTAATTGTAAGTACAACATTGAAGAACAATGTTCTCTCACTGATCGCCAATTGGCTTGACCTATACGACTTTGTTCGTGCATCGTTGGGATGCGAATTTCTCGCTTGTTGCGATTCTCAAACATACAAGTGCTAATTCTTTGTGTATGTATATATATATATATATATATATATATATATATGAGGACTTTTCCGTCTTTCTTAGATGGCAGATCTGTCGGAAGAAGTACCGATCAAGGACGCCGCGACAGCGATCTCTCAGGGCAAACGCCATCTCCTGGTTCGCGATTACAATCGGGCGGTGGTCGTCCTAGCCCAGGCCTGCGAACTTCTTGCCCAGGAAACACGGGGAGACGGGCGACGAGATGGGCGAGCTCTATCTGCTTTACGGACGAGCCCTTCTGGGTCTGGCGCGCGAGGAGGCTGGGGTTTGGGAGATGGTGTGCCCGGCTCCGAGGAAGTTAGTCAGGACGAGCAGGCCGAAGAAGAGGAGGAGGAGAACGACGAGGGAACCGCAGAGAGCAGCAACAACGGCACGGAAAATAGTCCTTGCACGTCGAATGATAAAGAAGACAAGGATGACAAAGATGATAAATTAGAATCAACGGGGAATGAAGATTTAAAGGACACGAAGAGTGAGAAGGATGAAAAGACGGAGGAAGATAAAACAGTCGATATCAAAGTCGAGGAAAAAAACAAAAGGGAGGAGACTCCTGGTTGTAGTCGAGATCCTGTGTACAATGGCGAAGCTTCTGGTAGTAATACGATTAAAGAGGAGGATGAGGACGGAGAGGCAGAAGAGGAAGATGTGAGAAGGAAAATGAGGACGACGTGAATAATTTACAGGTGATTGATTTTTTAAATTGCAATATCGAATTGCTATCTTTTCCCTCTGAATTTAAATAGCGAATTTAATATAATAAATTGGTAGTATTTAAATGTCGATACTGAATTGTGTTTAATGTTTAATTTCTTTCTTTTAGATCGCTTGGGAAGTCTTGGAACTGGCAAAACTGGTACTGCTAAAACGCGGATCTACCGGCTGGAAATTGCTGGCTGAGGCATATCGTCTTTTGGGGAGGTGGCGATGGAAGGTGGCAACCATGAGAGCGCATTGATTGACTTCAAAGCTTGCTTGAATCTGCTGGAAAAAATAACTCCGCGCGATCATCGTGCAATCGCCGAGATCCACTATCAGCTAGGATTGACTTATGCAATGGCAAATGATTTTGATGTGAGTGTCGAGCAATTCAACCAGGCGTCCGCACTGCTGGAGGCGAAGATTGTGCATCTGAAGACAGTGCAGGACGATCCACCTCGATCCGACGATCCCTTCTATACTATCGAAGGAGAAATCAAGGAACTACAGGAACTTCTTCCAGAAATTCAGGAGAAAATCGCGGATATCAAAGATATGAAACAGAAGCTGATTTAATTAAGGAGATTAAAGAAGAGAGCTGATGAATGGATGCTCTGCTAATGATGGTGAAGCGAGCGAAGCTTCCGGAAGTGGTAGTAATGCGTCTAAACCTGCTAGCGATATTTCGCATTTGGTAAGAAAAAAACGCAAGACAGAAGACGAAGAGGATATTGGTGCTGTTTGTAAGAAACCGTTGCAAGAAAAAGACGTAGCGTGAAAGGTGCGAGTATCTGATATTATGATGTTTAGAATAATCTGAACTCTAAAAACTAGAAAATGTTGATATTTTTCTCGATGATGTAGAGGAATAGTATTTGCTGATGTATAAAAAAATGGTTTTCTATAAAAAAAAAGACAATTTATCAACTAGTGAGAATTCATTTTCAATATAGATATCAATAGAAAATAATAGCCCAAGTATTCTAGAAATTGACGTACATTTAAAATTTTTATTATTTGAAATTGCCTTATGTGAGATGCAAATTAAATGAAACTTTTATAATTGTACAGTCTTATATATAAATACAAAATCAATTTGTTTTTTATAATATAGAAATATTTACTGACGTCAAAAACAATATTCTTTGAAAAAATTGTTTTTGTTTTAAAGATAAGATTTAATCATTTGTAATACAAATGATTGTCAGAATACGCCAAAAGTTAATATGCATATTTCTTTTCATAAAGTTTCTTAAACCATTTTTATGATAATATATGGAATAAATAGAATTACTTTATGACTGAAGTTGATAGTAATAGTTGATAACAATAGTAGTATAAAGAATAAATTTAGTAACACTTTTTATCGTTTATTATATATGTGCGTACGTATGTGTGTGTATGAGTGTGTGCGTGTTTGTATGCGTATGTAATGAATTAACGTTCTTCATGATTTTTCATGTAAAAAAACTTATTTTCAAGTAAAGGTGTTTTATTATTTTTATTTTTCGCTTGGTTTAAAATATATTTTTTAAATCGTTGATTTATACTCCAGCAAATACATTCATACATTAAAAACATACCTTTTGTATTTGGTTTTATGGAATGATTCGCCGAAATTAAGGCTGAGTTTGTGAAGAAATTATATATGCGTGTGAAGTTAACTTTTATTTTGAGAGCAGACTATTATGGAACTATTTGGAAAAGATTTTAATATAAAGTAATTCCGTTTTTTGTTATGTTGATCTTATAGGTATTTCATTAATATCTAAAATTTTTGACTCAAAAATTTTAAATTTGAGTAAATTAGTTCTATGAAATTTCCACATTAGAATAAAATTGGAAAAGATTATTACTTTTTACTTTGCATTGTATGATGATGCGATGAAAAAGATCTATAATAGCTCAAAGACAGAGAAAAAAAATGTGTTTCTTTATATCAGAATTTTTAAATAATTTCATAATAGATCTCTAGTTTAAGATGTTGTATTTATTCTAGCTTATTGTAAGAATTGAAGTAGAACAGAACACACAGATCGACACGCAGTATCGTTTTTAATTATAGATATAAGAATACAATAGAGGAGTAAGAGATTGTTTGTGTACGAATATCATGAATAAATGTTGGAATAATACTTTTTATATATATATTGCATGTATCTTTATCATGATCTAATTTATTGATATAATAGTGTTATATATATACGTAAGAAACATTTAAATGAAATTACAGATTTTCTATCAATATCAATATAAATACATATCGATGACATTTTTATCGACAGTTTAAACGTTACCATCTGTAGTTTCGACTTAAATTCTCTTCCTAGTTACAAAATTTGCGACAAACGTTAGTGTATGAACACAGATTAATAGACAGATCGCCAAAGGTCTGGATGAAGGAGAGACCAGCATTTCTCACTGATTTCAGCGCCATATCGTGGTAGTGGTCAATGCAGTAACTATTAATACGTTCCCAAGATAAGAGCGTCTCATGCTCATGAACTCGTCCGGCGGCATGTACGAGATTTATCTTTTCGTAGCGTTCGCGTATTTCGGAAAGGACAGAATTTTATGATGTTATAAATAAATAAATAAATAAAATATTAACCTGACCTATTATAATTATTTTTAATAAATGTTTCATTATTATTATCATCTAAGTCTAAGTTTTAATTAATTTTTAGTTTTTTAATAATTAATTTAATTTATTCTAATCATTTTAATATGTGAAAAATACTAATACGTATACGTTTTATAATGAATTAATATATTTCGAGAGTCGAATTATATATTTTTAATAATATAAAAGTGTTCAAAAATTATATTTGACTTTTAATTTTAATTATTTTAGCAAAGAGTTCCGAAATCTCTTACACACATAATAGGGATTTTGTTCATCCATATAATTCGCAATTAAGTATATATGTTAATTATTAATTTTAATAAAATACAAAATTAAAATTAAAGGTCAAATATAATTTTTGAACATAAATATATTTAATTCGTTATAAAACGTATACCCGTGATAGTATTTTTCTCGTACAAAATAATTAGAACAAATTAAATTACTCATAAAAAATAAAAAAATAATTAAATAATTTATATTATATATGATAATAATAAAACA